GCTAATCTTTCCTCGTAGGTAGGTGATAATGTCTGTAATTCATAACCAAGAATGGTAAGGACACATCTTATTTAGATACCAGCAAGCAGGGAAACATCTAAGAGAATGAGCTAGGAGTGGGGTCAGGTGGAGAGAGATCATTAGGTTCATTACAAGGCCTACTGTAATAGCCGACTGTTTACCAACCGGAGACTTTTTTTCATAGAAGGGAAAGTTAGTGAAGATGAGTTTGGCTCCAGTTTGTCCTCAAAAGGACGATTCTTCTTCTGAGCAGAGTCCAAAGAATATAACCCATGGTTTATGCCACTGAGCTGTGACCCCAGCTTCAAGAGAAGGGCTTCCCAGATGTCAGTTATGAAGAGCGTGAAGAAGAGGACGTGAAAGCATCTGGATGTGGAAAAGGGCTGTTAGGTGGGTGGAGCAAACTCGAAGGGGCTGCTGGGACAGGCCAGCGCAATCGGTGTGTGCACACCCGGCCCACTGCAATTAGAAGTGCCTGAGACTCCAAGTCTGTCTGTATCTGAGGGGGGAGATGAATAGAGCTGAGATTTACTAAAAGGTGAGTGTAGATCATCGGTTCATGAAGTCATGCAGCCCTGTAATGACAGACCTCTGCGTTCAAAAGTCCATTTCCCTACCAGCAGTACCATGAGGCACCATGCATCCATAGGCGCTGGCTTCCTAGAAACAAGTTCAGATATACAGAGCACTTAATGGCTGAATTCAGGACCAAAGAGATCATATTTCAAAGGAAACCTTACACCTCTAATCCCATGCAGAAGCATGCAGATTCCTGTGAGTTTGAGAGTTCAAGACCAGCCCAGTCTACAGAGCAAGTTTAAAGAAAGCCTTGAAAAATGTGTAGACTTACTCATTCTGTGTCCATGTTTCTGCTATAATTAAAAAGAAAAAATTCTGTGCACCTCAGATCACTGTGGAGAAAATGCGAATTGTCTCTTAACGTCTTACCCTGTACCTCCCCTACACACAGACACACTCCGCTATGCTCTGGATGCTGTGTCCCTGCCATGCCCGTATGTGAAACCCCTGACCCCCATAGTGAAGGCATTCAGAGGTGGGAATTTTGAAAGGAGCAGGGCACTAACGTTTCCCCTTCCTTACCCTGTGCAGTCATTGTGAGTCTTGGGGTGAAAAGCACTGCTATATAGCTCTTCTGCAGACACCAAATCTTCCAGTTCTTTGATCTGGGACTTGAGTGCCCAGAAATGAAAAACTAGATTTCTGTTCATAAGCCACCCAGTCAGTGGTGTGCGCTGCACCCGCAAAAGTGACTAGTGCACACACACACACTTGGGCGCTCTGGGTAACTAGGTTTGAATTTTGCATACTTGTTTTCTTAGTATGTAGTTAAAAGCATTTCCAGGCCCTTCCCACAGTGCCTGAGCATGCTTGTGTGAACCACTGTGCATGGGAGCCTATGTCAACCCCAATTCCTGAGGGCTTTGAGGGGGGAGAGAGGGAGGGAGGGAGGGAGGGAGAAAGGAAGGAAGGAAGGAAGGAAGGAAGGAAGGAAGGAAGGAAGCGCCCCCTCCTGATTTTGATTTTATCCAGGTTCTTAGTCAATTGGATGGTACCACCCATGTTCAGGGCAGGCCTACCCAGCTCCCTTCTCCAGTCTTCAGGCCACTTGTTTCTGGAAGTATCTACAGGTATGCCCGAGATGTGTGTTATTCTAGTTTTCTAGGCATCTCTCAGGCCATTCACTAAAGATGACAGTTGACAACCAAGATCAAAGACTGGAAACATATGGCATTTTAGCTCATGGTTTGGGGGCAGGTGCTAGGACCCCTTGGCATTGCTTCGTGCTCTCTGGGTTGGAGTTGTCACCCAGCTCAACTGCGACCTACAAGGGAACAGAAGGCTTTAAAACAAAATCCGGGTAGACTACATGGCTCAGTAGGAAAAGGTGGTTGCTGCGGAGCCCATGACTTGAATTTGACTTCCAGGACTCATACGGTAGAAGATAAAGGACTCCTCCAAATTGTCATCAAACCTTCTAATGCACACTGCGACACACACGTGTCCCCCTCCACATGCACCAGTAAAAATAATTAGTTAATTAAAAACATGAAAGCGGGGGGAGAAGAGAGAGAGAAATCATTACAACAGTGGAAGAGTACCTTGGCAACATTTCCCACAGAGGCTGAGGGTGAAGGTGAGGACTGACATTTTATAGAAAGAGACAGCCTGTTCTGCAGTAGAAAATTTAAATTATATTGAATGATGCAATCGCTTTAACATTTTCTCCTAGGACTTTGTGCCCTCTTTTAGTATCAAAAGATCAGCTGTTCCCAGTGATGCCCTTAAAATCAGCTTCCAGAAGAAATAAAAGAAGTGTCTAAAATACCAGGGATGGGGAAGAAAAGGCTTGCCCTTATAAGGCCTCCTAGAACCTCATTGGGAGAGTAATTTCATGTGTTAGAGAGGTAATTCTCTCCTTGTCTTCATGACAGGTTCACAGGAATGGAACAGCTTTATCTAGCGACTTGAACAAGCTAGAATCACACTGAAGAAGGTGGTATTGCAGGGGCATTCAGGAGGGGAGGGGCTGCAGAGTCCTAGACTGAACTCTTGTTCTTTCTCACAATCTCAAAATTCTTAGCAAAATCATCCAGTTCTCACGCCAGGGACCTACTGCAGCAAGAACTTTGGAGTCTCCCTTTATTGGAAGTGCTCCTTGACTTACTACATCTAAACTGCCAGCTTGGGATGAATAAAAGAGGGAAAGTGGTTGTTGGGCTGTGTTGAACAAGGACAAGTGATTGGCACCCTCCACACAGGCGACTGGCGGATGAAGTGTACAGGTTGAAGGGAGGTGCTGATGGGTCTCACAGAAACAGAATTGTCAAAGCATTCTCTAATCCAAATCTCTTGCCCTGCAATATTTTAAGAACCCTTATGTTTTCACATGATAAAAAAAAAAATGCTCACTGGTGTGAAAAGAGAGGAAAACGAGTCTAGCCAGACAGGTCTCAATTGGCCTTATTGGTGGTTCCAGAATTGGGGAGCAGTCTGCAGTCAGTATCTCAGAATTCTCTACCCCAGGAGCTGATTGTATTTATAGCTAGAGGAAAGAAAGCAACTTCCAAAAAATGGAAGCAAGGCAAAGTAGCCATATTGGGTTCAGCTGGAGTCTCTCCTGTTTGACTATGTTCTAACAGTTGGCATCTGGTGATTGGCTGAGAGTCACGGACGCTCTCCCAGAGTAGGCTACAACCTGTTTACGTGTCAGATCTCAGTGCACACTATTCGGGGAAATGCTTGAGGCGATTGGAAATTATGTATGAGGTAGCAGCTTCACGCTGGGCTGGTATAGCCCCCACACGAATCTGAAAATCTGTTTTGTTGGGTTTTTCTTTTTTTGAGTTTCCTACTTGTGCAGCCATCCTGATTTAATCAGATTTCCCCCTTATTAAATCGTGAATCCATAGAACATGGGTTGGCAGGGGGAAAGGCATTTTTCTTGTATCTTGTGACTCTTTTTACCCAACAGTAGGTCATTTTTCTCGGTTAACTGTAAAGACAGAATACTGTTCACAAGGCGGTTCAATTCACTTCCAGAAAGCACTGTCTCCACACTGTGTGTGAAAATGTTGCTGTTCTTGTCGTGACTTCCAGTGTCCACGGTGTGGACCGCCTGGTCTTGTGCTATCCCTGATTCTCTTTGAAATCCAGGCAGTGCATTTTAGCTCGTCTGTGCTCCTGTACCCTGTGACTCTGTCCAGTCCTTGTGGAACACAGAACAATGGACTTTCTGTTCCCAAACCTAGTTTCACTCTTCACCCCCGTGGTTCTCTGAAGGCTCACTCTTGCCTGCTTCTACCCATTGTTCCCACCACCCTTCCTGCCCCCAGGGACAGCACAGTGTGCTGTTGACAAGAGCCAGCAGGATCTGTCACTGACTCTGTCTGTATCAAGCCCCAGCTGAGGCTAAAGCAGCCTCATTAGTAAGTTGAGGACATGCTTGCTTGGCTGAATTCTAAACGTCTTTGTGTTTTGTTAGCTTTATAGTGCATCCCACTCCAGTGGTCAGTTTCCCAATACCTTTGACCCTTCAACTACTGTTTGCCTTATCAAATGGCATCCCTATAAGGAACTCTATTGAAATTGAGTCTGTGCCCTGTATTCCAGTTAATCATTGCACTATCAGCAAGATTGGAGAGAGAGAGAGAGAAGACAGAGATAAAAAAGAAGGGAGGGGAGACTTTAGGCATGTCAACACAAATAATTATAGCAAGAAGGAGTCTCATAGTTTATAAGATTTATTTTTCCATTTTTATTCAGTATGTGTGCTCCCTGCATGTGTGTTTCTGCACTGCATGTCTGCCTCATGTTTACAAAGTGGATGCGAAATTCTGGAACTTGAATTAAAGACAATTGTGTTGTTAATCCTGAGATTCTCTAGAGAAAAAAAAACAGTTCCACCATCTTGGCCCAAAGTAAAGTAAGTTTTTATTAAAATTGTATATACTGGCCAAGATGGAATTTGGTCAGAACCACTCCTTGGAACTATCCCATCCAGCTGAGTGACCCCTACATCTGTTGCCCTGGCTTTTATGGATAAAACCCATAGGGCACCATACTTTCCCATAAGGCTTTATTCTTATTTTTAAGAACTACAACTCCCAGCATTCCAAGATGCTACCTGGTCCTTGGGCAGGCGGGGCTTACAGGTTAGTTTAGGGCACAGCAATAAATGCCTTGTGAGTACAGGGAACCAAATCCTGATCTTCTGCAAGGGGAGTTAGCAAGTGTTCTTAACGAATAATAAGCTGCCCTCCCAATATCAATTCCCTCCCTACATCTGTCTTTCTCTTTTAATAGACTTGAGAAGAGTTCCCAAAGAAAGTAAACTAAGCACTCTAAATGTAAGCAAGAATTTTATTTCTTTCTTAAATAAGTAAGGAAACTGAAAGTCATTATGAGATGTTCTGCGAGACATGTTTTTCATCTCAGTGAAACTAAAATCTTCCTTGAAGTCTTTAGAAAGAAACTGGAAGTTAATCCGCGATGAAGGCCTCATGGTGATGGATAAAGCCAAGGGTCTCTTCCTGCCAGAGGATGAAAACCTCCGGGAGAAGGGAGACTGGAGCCAGTTCACACTGTGGCAGCAAGGTGAGCCAGGCCTTCTGGATCAGGTTCTGCATGCGCCGAGCAGGTGGCAAGGCCACCTGTGAAACCAAGGGTTTAGATATGCACTCACGGATTTTAAACTTGTGTATGTGTCCGTGTGTATACATATATGTATTTGGATAAACATGGAAGTGTTTTCCATTGTCCCTGTCTATGTACCTCTACTGTGTATGTGCACCTGAAAGCCCTTGACATCAAAACCCAAACTGTAGTTAAAACTTTATCTCGTCCTATTTGGACCATTTGCACTTGTATAAATTTGTAAACAGTAGTAAATTTGTTACATCTTTTATTATTATAAGCATTTATGGTTAATGAATGTGTTAGTTAAGATGCTTCATCTACATGTGTGCAATTTTTCACTTGCGTCATTAGTTTTAAAATAGACTGAATTTATGTCCTGGTTTCCATTTTGAATCAGAATAATTGTGTGTGTGTGTGTGTGTGTGTGTGTGTGTGTGTGTGTGTGTGTGTAGCAAGAAGCATGTGCTGTGCTTTTGTTGCTTGAGTCACTCAGTTTGTGTTATTTTGTTATACAGCCCCAGTCGACCTATATAGTCTCTAAGTAGTGTTATTGATACTGAACTGTACTGTGTGTGTGTACACATGTATGACAGAGGGTTTTGCAGAGATTTAAACTCAGAACTTCACATATGCTAGGCAAATCATATACCATACTTCTTATCCTCAGCTCGTATATTTCTTTTTGAATGGTCAACTTTTTCATTATATGTTTTTTATTAAAAATTTTAAATTTAAATGTATTTGATCATATTCTTCCCCTCCTCAATCCCTTCCAGATCTTTTCCTCCGCATACCCACCGAACTTTAAGTTCTTTCTCAAAAAGCAAACAAAAACCCAATACAAAACCAAAACTAATAAAACAACACCCTTCTCCCCAAACCCACCAAAATGTAACCAAATAAAAGCCCACAAGAAAACCATAGAGTCCATTATATGTTGGTCAACACTTCTGGACATGAGGCCTGCCATGGAGTGCATGGAGTGTCACTATATTGGAGGAAACTGATTCCCCTTCACTTTGCTCATGTTGATTGAGAGGGCCCTGTTCTCCTGGTGTCCTCCATTCCCCTTGGCTCTTATACTCCACCTTCTCTTCTCTGGGGTTTCCAGAGCTCTGAGGAGGATTGGATGAAGACATTCCATTTAGGGCTAAGTGTTCCAAGCATATTTTCTCTCTCTCTCTCTCTCTCTCTCTCTCTCTCTCTCTCTCTCTCTCATATCTGGCTTTGGATCTGTATTTTTCCCCCCATCTGCTGTGAGAGGAAGCTTCTCTGATGATAGCTGAGCAAGATACCTATCTAGGGGTATAGCAGAATATCATTAGGGACTAATGGCATTTTATCACTAACTTTTAGATCAGTATTATTTGCTTTTTCCCCTAGGTCTCTGGTCTATCTAGTCTCAGGTTCTTGGTCACCCAAGCATTGTTGAGTATGGGCATCATCTTGTGGAGTGGGCTTCATGTCAAAACAGTTATTGGCTGGCACAAACTAGTGACTTGAAAGTGAGCCTCAGAAGCCTGCGTGCATTTCCCTGGCTAAAACCAACTTACTGTTCTTCAACAGGCTTCAGAATCTTGAATCACCATGCTTCTTGTCTTATGTCCTCTTCAGTCTCTAAAAGCAGCAATAGCTGCTCGACCTTTAATCATCTGAATCGCTGGCTCTTCTCTCCCATTTTTGCACATTAAGGGCCCTGTGACGTCAGCCTCTGTCTTTCTCTTGGCCTTCACACTCTCACAGTGAACGTGGTTGTACAAGCACAGGTGGTCCAAATGGGACGAGATAAAGTTTTAACTGTAGTTTGGGTTTTGGTGTGTGTGTGTGTGTGCTTCAGTAGGGTCTCACCATGGTGATCAGGTTGGTCTTGAACTCCTAGGCTCAAGTGATCTACCTAGTCAACTTCCAGAGTAACTGAGACCACAGATACACCATGGCAACTGTGATTTGCTTCTCACAGTCATCCTACCATATTTTATTTTAGGAAGGAAGAATGAGAATGCCTGCAAAGGAGCCCCTAAGACCTGTACTTTATTAGAAAAGTTCTCCGAGACAACAGGATGCAGGAGAGGACAGGTACCAAGGGTGTTTTCAGAGATGGGAAGGACACGGTATGTTGTCAGGAAAGAGGTGGACCTGACCTTCACAAAATCACAGTTATTTCCTGTGACACAGGAGATGTCTCTTTTTCCCTTCACTCTTTAATGAAACATAATTTCATATGTTGATGTCAAAATTTGAAGGTCGAAAGTGTTGAGTGTTATGTCACTTTGTGGAAAATGAGAGTGCTTGCTTTTTTAGCTCCTTCACAGAGAAATAGGATGCTAGTATAAACCCCCAGGGTTACAAAGACTCTCTCCTGTTAACTGATGCTGATTCTGCTGCTTCTCCACACCTTGATAAATGGATGACTGGATGTCATACTTTCTGTGCAGATCAAATATTCCATCATGCACCCTGGAACTCATGTGTGGCCACACACAGGACCCACAAACTGCAGGCTCCGAATGCATCTAGGATTGGTGATTCCCAAGGAAGGCTGCAAGATCCGGTGTGCCAATGAGACCAGGTACATTTCCTTTGTGTTTATCTGTTTCACCATCACCCAACAGCAGGTATTCCTTATAGAAAGTCTGTATTCAGTGGGACATGTTGTCCCTGTCTCTGTAGACGGAAACAAAGTGATTTGCATGTGGTCTCTAGTCTGTGACCTTTGTGCTTTTGGGGGTGTAGAGATGCCATACAGAGTCAGGGCAGGCCCCTGTCATTTACCCCACAGCACTCATTTGCCTGCTCAGTCTCCTGGTTTCTTCTGGTGGACAGCCCTGCGTTCAGAGTCAATCCACTTGCCTTGAGCTCCCCACATTCTGCCTTGTGCTTAAGGCTCCACAGCTTGACTTGTGTGCGTGTCTAGGAAGTCTGTCTCCTTAAAGAAACCACCCTGTGGTGTGTGTGCTCTGCTCTGGAGGTGGCAGCATGGTTCGCTGAGTGATTGCCACTTGCAGAAGCATTTCTGCCACTATATGATCTTGACTAGTCACTTAATCTCCTGAAATCTCAGCTTCCTGGCTTGTAAAATTGGCAATAATGCCTACTCTGTCGCGTCGTGACATGGATTAAAGGGAATGATTCTCAGAAGCACTTAATCCTCCTGGCATCAGCAAGGCCACAGTGAACGTTAGGATTCCGCGAAGTGCTTGCTTCTTTTCTAGTCACGGCAGTTGATTCACCCTCTTGTGAACGAGCCACACTTGAAGGAGCCTCACAAGCTCTGTCTCTTGTGAGGAATTTTCTAGATACTTTTTTGCTCTAGCAGCTTTTAGTATCTAGGCGAAGTATGCTAATTACTGAGATGCAATTTCAGCTCATAAAAATAAGGCCTGCGGGCTGACATCTTAGGCCATGTGCACAGTGCATGCCTCAGTGGTCCCTGGCCAGCTATCATTGCTGTCAGTGGCCATTAACCTGATGATCCTGCTGAAATGAAAGCTCCTAAAGGCGGGAAACCAAGACATTGCTGTGTTCTGCCATCCTAATTGTCTCTGATAGGGAACAGAATGGAGGGAAGGACAAGTGTTACAGAACGCACAATGGCAGATCACATGGGGCTTTCTGTTTCCAGATACATGTGATCAGGAAGATTAAAGGAAAACCCACGCTACGTAGCCCGAAGGGAGCACAGGTCAAAGGTTACAAATGGGTCATTGGCCAGGACCTCACTTGCCCCTAAGATTGGGAATTTCACGTGTAGTGTTTAGTTTTGTGGTTTAGTTGGCATGCTTATTTGTTTTTAGAAAAGAAGGTTATAGGTACTGAAAGCTGAGAAGAGAACACATTCTAAAATGGCTATAAAATCAAAGGCGCCAAATCTGAGCAACACTGTGTGCTTCAGCAGGCAGAAACTAGGAGGAGGTCGTGGAGGGGTACCGCTTCCTTGCTTCTTTGCTCTTCGTGGCTTGCTCAGCTTGCTTTTATCTGCAGCCCACCACCAACTGCTCAGAGCTAACACAGCAGTGGGCTGGCCCTTCCGCATGAACCATTAACCAAGAAAATGACCCACAGACCTGCCCACAGACCCAACTGATGGAAGCAATAGCTCAATCGAGATTCCGTCTTTCTTGGTGAGTGTGTCAAGTTGACATGCACTAACCAGTACAGGCCTGGGAGCTTTTCTATCCTCTCCCACCTTTCCCACTTCTCTTTCAGTGTTCTCTGTTTCACAGTCATTTCTGCTGTTGATAACCTAGAATCGAGAGCAAGAAGGTAGAAGTGACAGGAAGAGGCACAGAGGGGGACAAAGGACTAATTTGATGTGACCAGGTGAGGAATTCCTCTGGTGGCTCAGTTGAAAGGCTCTCCCCTCAAGGCACTGAGAGAAAACGCTACCCGCCCGACTGTGCCATGGAGTGCCTGTTTTAATCCTAATGGGCAGAAGGGTTCTCAGCTAAGATAGGCAGTGTTTGTCATACTCAACATTTGATCACATTCTCACAGCTTAGATGAAGTCTGCTTAGGGAATCTTGTCATAGAAAGAATGAACTCATCATAACCAAGAGCTGCACTTAAAGAATTAGGAGAACGTTGGTGTTGACAAGAGCCCTTGAGCCCATCTTACCCGTCTCCAGACACTGTGCAGATGGATAAACTGAGGCTGTAAGTGAAATGTGTTGGCATGGTTGGCAGCAGTCATAGCAAGAATGCAAGTGCGCTGGCTTCCAAATCAAAGAGTGCGGGGGAGTTGGGGGTCATTTTGTCAGTGTATTCAGAGGAGAGAAGGAGCAGAGGCAAGCAATTATGCAGTTTCACGTCAGTGAGTGCTTGTGCCAGAATTTCCACACTGGGGGACCTCAGTAGATCAGAATTTATAAATGTTGGGTTTATTGTTTCTGAGGTCTGAACCTTTTTTCTTGATTAAATGTCTGATTAAATGCTCGTAGGTCACCTCAGCATGGCATCCTCAGACACTAAGAATATACCTAGGGCAGTACGCTTGAGCTAAAGTGCTGGGCTTTACCAGCAAACCTAAAGGGTTTCCACAGTTTCTACAGAATTAGCCCGTCCTGAGCGAGTTCATCATGTCCTCATGAAGTTCATTTGGATAAAAACCACAGTTACGTTATAACTTTTGCCTGGTTCAGAACATTCTAGCAAAGCTCACTGACATTTTTTTCTATAGGATTTTTACGTGGAAAACTAAGCATGTAGAGTCGTCACTAGCCTTATTAATATTGGTGATAATTGTGTGGCAAAATTATAGCTATTAAGTATGCCTTGCCACCATTATGTCATTATCTCTAGTTATAATTATAATAATTTGAGAAGTTGAAGGATTATGCAATATTGCTTTGTCTTATTACTGGATATTCTTGCATCTTTTGGCATATGAGGCAGCCTTCTTCTTCCAATGGTCAGATAGTCAAACAGTGAGCAGCATATTCTTCCAGCCCCTGCCCTCTAGACCTGTATCACGAGCCCTCACAGGATGGTGCTAGGGAGACCACCTCCTAAGGCTATCCCGGGAAAACGTCCCTGTCTTTAGCTGCTTGTGTCATAATCCTGACATGACTTAGTCATATTTATAAGAGCTTTTCTTTGAAAAACAATGGCCTGGAAACTGTTTGTGTTCTACTGAGCCTCTGCTTTTCTTTCAGAAGAGGTCTGTAGTCCTGTGATGACTTCATTGCCCTTATCTTGGTTGTGCAAAGCATGCTTTTTTCCCCAGGCTGGTGAGATCTGTCCAGGTTAGCCCTGTGCCAGCTCGGGTGGAGACATGGCTTGAAAGGGGTTCTGCTGTGCTCTCTGTGCCTCCTTGGAATAATTGAAGCTGCTGCTGTTGTTACTCCACCTTCGAAAGCTAGTTCAAGGGTAAAATGCAGTATTTTCAGGAAAGGAGCTCCAGTATGTAGTCACCATTGCTGCCTTCTACGGAAACAGAAAATCCAAGGATAAATATAAGCCCAACAGGATATATCGCCCTGCGTAGTTTTTATTTTGTGTCCCTTTTGATACAGGTCTCATTGGATAGCCCACACTGGCTTTATCCTACATACAGAGCTTTTGAATTTGTGATTATACTGCCTCAAACTCCCCATAGTCCTTTAAGGACTTAGAAGAGTCCATCTGGGGCTGGTGAGATTGGTCAGTGCCTACATGTGCCTCCCTCCAAGTTCAACAACCTTAGCTCAGCCCCAGGATCCATATGGCGGAAGGACAACCATCTCCTGATTGTGCTCCGACCCCGTGTGCAGCTGAAGAATGGTTACAAGGACACACACATACACACACAAACACATACACACACGCACACACACTCACACAAACACCCCAGATGTCGATGAAATATTTTAAAATGAATGTTTTTAAAGAAAAATTCAGTGCACAATCCATGGAAATGCCTTCCAGATTTTAGGTTTATTTTTAAAAATGGTTAATTAATGATCCAGGCATGTCCAACCTTTCAACATTGCAAAGCCACATTGTTACCGGTAGAGTTTCTGCTCAAGAATCATGTGATCAAGTTACAAAACTAACTCCCGCAATATTAAGTGAGTTGAAGATTTTATGTTAGGCTCCATTCACTACTGTCCTGGGAAGCACGTGACCCACACGCTGCAGATATGACACACCTGGGACACATTTGACCAAAACTACTTGGAAAGCCGTAAACAGTGACTCTGAAGTCATCAAGTATGCAGTGGCCAGTATGTCCCATGGGAACTGCTCCTTCTAATTCACAGGCAATGAAGTTAATGCATGGGATGATTAAGGTTTTTAAACATTCCTAATCCTTGGTTTCATTACACTTATCAAAATATCCCAGAAAATGTAACTTATGCAACAGAGAGTTTTGTGCTCTTTTTGAATGACATGTAGACTTTGAAATGGCGTCCAAATTCTGTGGTGCTCAAATAGCTTCAAGACCCATTTGTCAATGGCATCTCAGATAGATTTTCAGTTTTCTCAAACTAAGTCAGATTGCATAAGGAGTGAAGTCAAATTTATTCTTGGTATTCTATTGTCTTGTCTTTATTTTCTGTTTTGTTCCCACATGTGTTTCAAATTTTCTTCTCTGAAGTTGAATATCTACCCTGCCCTCTTGTGAAGCCTCGGCTGACAGTACAAGGGCAAATGTGCTAGGTTCAGGTGCTCCCCACTTAACATAATAATAGCTCTGCTGGTAGCCGTCCGACCTCGTGAATGGAAAGAAATGACGTGCATTCCATAGAAACTCAACTTGTAAGTCTGACCTTTTCCTGGGTCAGCAATGTGTACTAGCACTTTCTAGTGATGCTGGGACACCGCATTCCAACTACTGTCATTCCATCCTTTGGTTGATCAGCCAAGACTCTACAGTGTGCTCTGTTGCTGAAATTTGTTTGATATTGATTTCCAATAAATAATACTAGTAATCCCACACATTGGTATACAGTAGGCTTTGCATTAAATGACCTTGCCCAGCTGTGGGCTAATTCTCAACATTCAGAGCCTGTCTACCGTAGGGTAGGCTACATCTTCAGTCTGGATATGGGGTATTACATGCTTTAGCCATTTGTGGTACTTTCGCTTGGTGATGGATTTATCAGAGCGTGAATCTTCCTTAATAAAGAAGCATCAGTAACTTGCCCCAGATCAAGTGACAAATGCCAGAGCCAAAAGGTTTTATTCTACTCCCTTCAAAGACCATGATGTCTTTCTGTCTTTGGATGCTTTTTGACTCTTTTCTCTCATGTGTCCCTTTGACTTTCAATTTTTTTATTTAGTCATGATAAAATACGCATCATAAAATTAAACATGTTAACCATTTTAAAATGTATGTTTTGTTGGCATTATGTTCACTTACTTTGTACAATTATTGCCACCACATATCTCCAGAATTTTATATCAAAAAACTGGACTGTTGAGCACTAGGTGCATATGCTGTGGAATTATCCACGAGTCTCAAGACAGCACAGGGATAAATAGAAATGAGTTGAATTGAGTTAGCTAGTAACAAGCTGAGCTATGGGCTGGCCCTTTATAAGTAATATGAAGTCTCAGTGTTGGTTATTTGGGAAATGGCTGCTGGGACAGGAAAGTTCTGCCTACATCCATACCCCATCTCAGCCAGGCAACATTCCTCTTTAGTCTATGAGTGTGACCATTCTAGACCCTTATACAAGTGGAATCGTACAGTATCTGGCCTTTAGTGGCTAGCTTGAGCCACTTAGCATAATGCCCTTAAGATACATATGTGCTGGGTCGGGGGATGGCTCACTGGATAAAGCGCTGGCAGTCATATCTGAGGGAATCTTTGTGTCTTCCAAATGATCTTGCTTTCTGTTCTGTCTATTATGGAAGATCCATTTTATAGAAGAAATGATCCTTATATCCAGTGACCTGAAAACCAAATTAGGTGTCTCCTAAGTAGTATTCTAGTTTAGAAAGATGGGCAGATTGGAAATTAATCTTGTTTATATTCTTAGCTTCATCTGCTATGCAAGTGGGTTACACAAGGAATATTTTAAGTCAGTGTGGCAGAGTTCTCCTCAGGGCCTCCAGCTGTACCGTAGAGGAGAGTTGTGTGAGACTCACAATCTAAATAGGACGTTAGTCTAAAGAGAAACGCACCGCTGGAGGCTCTGCAGTGCCTCCACAATCCGCGGAAAGTTGTGAGCTGAGTCAGTGTGCCTGCGTGTATACATAGATATTGTGAAGATATGTGTCAGGTGAGACGAAGCTAAATGCTGTCACCTTTTAAATGAAAATTTCTCTAGGAAATTTTTTTTAATTATTAAAATTCTACTTAAATGTTTAGAATTTTGTATTGTACCTTGGCAGAGAATTACAGTATAACAGGAACAGCGCTATTGTAGGGACACATTCCTTGAGGACAGAATTGGTGTCATTTTATGGGCCTTGCCCCTGGATGTCTGGTCCAGATGGTCAACAGCATCCCTGGCCTCTAGCCACTAGATGGCAGTAGTGTGCCCACACCTTTTGTGACAAGGAGAAATATTTATGGTAATTTTCAAAAGTGGGGAGGAATTTAGGGGAGACAGTTATCCCAGGAAATAATAACTGACCTGTTGGGGGATTTTAAAATAAGTTTTCTAAGTTAATTAACTTATAAAAAGTAATATTTACAATAAAAAGTTTAATCCACCCTCCCCATCTCCCACCCACTTATCTGCCCATTCCTTCTATGGCATGCCTCTCAGCTTAGAATCTTGAATTCAGCAAATGTGTTGCTTGGCTGTTTTATACAGTTCCTCTGGATATAGGGGATACAATGCTCCCTGAAAGGTTTACATAGGACAGAAACCTAGAATGGACAGCCAATGGCAGAACAGGCATTCATGACCATGTGAAATCAAACCTGAAAAAAAAAAAAAAAGGAAGCTAAGGAAAAAACAAAACCAGAAATAAAAAAAGAGAAAAAGAAAATCAGCCAACTCCCCTCTCCTAAAATATCTTAAACAGAGAGATAGTAATTTTCTTGGTCTAGCGTTACCAGAGAAACTGAGCATTGTCGGTAGGTGTAATGGACAGAGCTACTGGACAGATAGATGGGAAGGATGAAAAGTGTCCAAGAGTGAAAGTATCCCTGCTCACAGCAGCAGTTACGAGGGACAAGAAGGTGGGCACAGCTCTCATGTCCCTCGGTGGATAAGCTAAGCTCAGGTGAAGCCTGCAGCAGCCTCAGAGCAGAGAGAAGTTCTGGTGACATGATCACATACATGAGGCTTGTGTGTGGGGGGGGGGGGGTTCCTGCATGTGTGTGTACACACATTTGTGTCAGGGCAAATGCAGACACATGTGTATATACCACATGTGTATTCCACGTGTGTGTGAGACTCAGAGACAGCCTTGAGTGTTGGTCCTCACCTTCTGTCTTGTTTGCAACAGGGCTCTCTTTTGTTCTTTCCCAGTGCATACACCAGATCAGCTGCCAACAAGCTCCTGGGGATGACCCTGTCGCTCAGCTTCCCATCTCCCCGTAGGAACACTAGAATTACAGATGCTCATGTTGTGTGCCCAGCCTTTATTTTTTTTTTCTATTTTATTGAGATGGGGCTTCTCTGTAGCTTTGGCACCTTTCCTGGAACTTGCTCTTGTAGACCAGGCTGGCCTCGAACTCACAGAGATTCACCTGCCTCTGCCTCCCAAGTGTTCGGATTAGAGGTGTGCACCACCACCGCCCAGCTGTGCCCAGCTTTTATGTGGGTCCTGGGAATGGAAACTTTGGTCTTCACCACCTAAAAATCTTAGCCAGTCTCTGGAATGACAGACAGGACAGCTGTGCAATGACTCACCTGGAAATTGTCTCATGTGTGAGCTCCTAGGGCATGCAGCTAGATCAGTGATTCTCACCCTGTGGGTGGAGACCCCTTTGATATTCAAATGACCCTTTCACAGGAAGTGAATATCAGATATCCTGCGGGTCAGATTTTCGCATTATGATTCTTTACAGCAGCAAAATTACAGTTATGGAGTAGCAATGAAATAATTTTGTGGTTGGGTCTCCATACTGTGAGGAACTGTACTCAAGGATCACATCATTATGAAGGTTGAGAACCACTGTTCTAGATACTTGTTCAGCTGAACAAGTCTGCTTTAAGATGGGATCCAGACTAACTGGAGGGTCTGAAATAATTTCAGGAGGTCCTGATCGCCATCCCATGTCCTTTGCATGTTCTTTGTGCAGCGTGAGAAGACAGGTGTCCCGAATAAGAAGCTTGAGTTCTTAATCATTAATGCAAGACTCTCTCCAGGCCTGGTGACACGGTCATATCCCAACGGTGCTCAGGAGAGGTCCTCTCCCCCTCAGGAGAGGTCCGCCTGCCTGTGAAACGGAAACTCCCAAGGCCACTCTGACAAGTGCCTGTGTTTCTCCTCCAGGACGTGGGAGGAAGGCAAGGTGCTCATCTTTGACGACTCTTTCGAGCACGAGGTGTGGCAGGATGCTTCGTCATTTCGGCTGATCTTCATTGTGGATGTGTGGCACCCGGAGCTGACCCCTCAGCAGAGGCGCAGCCTTCCTGCAATCTAAAAGGAATCGTCACAGCCTTGGGTGCACTCCCCGGAGGCTGCCGTTCTGCTTCTCCTGGGGTGCAGAGACAGACATTCAAGCACTGTGACTCTTTGGTCCCCTTGCCTTGCAGCTAAAGATCTCTAAGGTTCCTTCTGGATGGGAAATCACTGGGAGGAGTATTTGCCTTACTGCAATTCATTTAGGAGGCCCCTTGCTTCAAGTCACCCATGGCAGCACAGATGTTCTGCCTGGACTGAAGGGGAACACTTGGCTGTGTCTACATTGCTAGCCAAAGATATTTTTCTACATGGAGTAGTGTACACAGAGGGTATACCATATGGAGAAACTGTGAATGAATCACTTTCGTTTGTAATTTTTCTAGGCAGTTATATTTTTCTAGGTAGCCAAACTGTTCTGTCACCATCTACCCTGGTTTCTGTCGACTTTGATGAGAAGTACAAATGCATCCCTTCTGAATGTTAAGTAGTAATTTTCTGGTCAGTTCAGACATATTCCTTTTAGGGGGAAAAAAAAACACTTGTGAAAAAGGCAACTTTATTTGGTTTTCCTAATATAAATGGGAAGTTACTCTGGGATATATTAACTGTGCCGACCCTTGCCCTTGGATCTCCCTGTGTATCTTCGTTTATACTCAGCTTCTTCTCCTGTCTCTGAGCTTATCATGGAAATGCTATCAAGCTCTTATACCTAAGAGCAACGCTTTCTCTTTGACACTGAGCAAAGCCATGGAAATATTTTATGTTCTAATAAGACAATACCACAGATAACGGGGCTCAGAGAAGATCTAACATGGACGTGAACGTTCCCACTCAGGGTCAGGTGACCAGATAGCCTGGACTTTTTGCCTTCTGCACACAGGACCTGGAATCTGCAGTGGCCACCTACTCTAGGTCCACTTGGATGCCAAGAAGATGGCTGCTTGGTTTCTGAGAGTCTCCTCACAATTTTGTCCATGTAGGAGAGCAGTGTAGGAAGTTCCCAGGAATGCTGGGTTCCTCCCCCAGGTGGAGGTGGTAGAATTTGTTAATTCTGAATTCGCAGGCAGTTTCCATCGTCCATGCTCAAAAAAAGCCTGCCATCTAGTAATTATTATTTTGAAACAGCGTTTCACTTGTATGTTTGATCTAAGTATGGCGCATGGCATAGGAAGAAGAGCAGAAAGTCATCTTGCCACTCCTTCCAAGATGATCAATTTCACCGGTAAAATCACTGCCTTGGATTTTCTGTTTGACAGTTAAAGCTAATTCAAGCCTCAGAATGTAATGCCATTCATGCACTGATCCCTAAGCCAGTCGAACAATAATGCTGCAGAAATGACACGTATTCCAGTCACATAGGTGGATAAACACAGATGCATTCTTTTCAGACAGTGTCAAAAGAAAATGCTCTCTGGACCCCACTTAGCGAGCAATTTTTTGAAATTGGCATTGATCCTTTTTCTTTTAGCTTAAGGATACTAGCTTTTAGTAGGAAGTTTACAAAATATGTGACCATTCATTTAAAAAGGTACTTTATCCTTCTTTTGTCAATGTTCAAAAATTCCTCTAAGGCATGGAAGGAAAATAACAAGTCATCACCAAATTCCAGAAAAGAAAACAAACTCTCAGAAAACAAAAGGTGTTTGCGTTCTTCAGTATTTATTAAATGGAGGAACTTATTGACAAAAGGCAATACAATTCAGAGTTCATGTTGTGACACTCGGCCGCCTATTGGGTTTGGTTCTCCAACATATTACATACACATAACGAAATGCAAACCATATGTTCTCACCGTTAAACCGTCACCTTACAGTCATGTCATAAAATGGTAGAAATAAGTGAAAATTAGCTTTTGCCTTAGTAAATATAACATGGTTTTTAAAATATGGTCATTACAGTAGGATTCTAAATATTGTCGTGTGAAAAGCCAGAAGAACCATTACCGTCGTTGACTCCAACAATATTTTGAGTACTTGGATCCCACATTTGTTTTATAAACCCAAGCAATAAAAGATTTTCTAATTCACTTTAATCTTTCCATTCTCTTACTCGTGTCATGAGAAAAGAGTTTCCACCAATGCATTGGTAGACATTTTTCAGGGTTGTTATTTTATGATTCAGAGGGTCTATACCAAATAAATTGGTACTTTTATATATGATGATGCAATTGTTTGAGAAATATTTTGAATTCTGCCTCAGTATTACTCCTTCAAAGTTGGAACATAAAAATAATATTTGTTACTATTCTCTACTAGTGAAAATTAATAATAAACCATAGATCAACTGAGAAGGAATGTATGTCTAGAATGTAGCTCAGGGCTCAGGAGGGAAACACTTGCCTGGAATGACAAGGCCCTCATTTTGATCTCCAGCATGGGAAGGAGGAATGGAGAGAGGGAGGGACAGAATGATGGAGGAAGAGTCAGAGAAAAAACAAAAGAGAAGGGGGAAGAGGAGAGATAGGGAGAGGGATAGCAAAAGAGAGACACAGAGAGAGAAAGAGGCAGGAACAGAAGGTAGACAGAAGAGAGAGGTGTTCATGACTAGCCATATTGTTTAGGTGATTATGGCTGAAAGTTGAATTGTTTTCCTGTTTTCTGAGGTTGTTCAACTAACAAATCAACCTACCAAAGGCTTAAAGTGTGAAATATTTTACTAAGCATTATCAATTGAGATTTTCTTTTGACGTTAAGCACTCTGGTCGTATTAGTCAGTGCCTATGTCAAACAGATAGGTGGCAAATACGATATCTACGTATACTCAACTGGTCTGGGGAAACATGGCACAGATAAAATATCCTAACCTTTGATGTCTGTTTTCTGTCTGACTTCCTGCGAGTAGGGACTGGGTTCTGTTTCTAAGGAGAATGGATACAGACGTAGAGTGGTCTTTGGCATTTCATCTTGGCATTTTATTTGTCTTCTCTTAGCTCAGTACTTACATGTTAAGCCATCCTTGAGGCCCTTTCTGTGTGACAGACTGCCTGCTCAGGGCCTTTCTCCGCAGTTCATAGGAGGGTGGGGACCAAGTGCCTTGCTAGCACTTTCCTTTGCTTGGGTAGGAACCCAAGAACTAACTTGAATGGGCTTATCAGTGTGTTGTTTTTCAATGAGTTGCCTCCTCTCTGTAGACATTCCCATGAACGCCTACAGGACATCACTTTGCTAAGATGAAGCAGTCAGTTGTCAACTGCCTGTGTCCTCTTGACATCCAATTCATGAAGTTAGCTGGTGGCCCGACTAACAAATCATTCTTGCAGGATATATGAGTTAAGAAATTTGCCCATGACCTGTGAGGTCATGCTTTCAGGCTGAGCACTTAGATGCTGGTGGTGGGTCGGAACGTAAGTCAATAAAACTGGTCATTAGTGTAGCTACTATTGTCTCGGGGTTCTGCACTCCGTTACACTTGACCTTGTGTCTGAACAGTTTCACTCTGCTGTCTCTATCTGGAAATGCACGTCATTGTGTGACTCCTTAGAGCAGCTGCTGTCCTAGTGTGTGCGCAGGAAATTCAGTCTTTCCCTGTGTGAGTGCATTTGCTACCATAAATGTGTGGGGAGGGAGAATCCTTTTTACACAGATGCCTCGCTTCATCCTCCTAATCCCTCCCTAAAACAAATTAATCAGTTAACTTGAGCTTGAGGAGCATCCCTCCGATGTTTGTCCGGTGTGGGCTGCTCAGACCAATGGCTGCTGACGTCATGGCTGGGGAAGCAGTGGAGGACCTCCTGTTGAGCAGAGCCCGTGTGTCTGTAGGTCAGTCACCCGGGTGCTCCCTGGGCGGCTGCTCCACTGGAGGCTTGTGCATGGGAGCATCACGCAACGTGGCTCAGTCCAGAGCCAGTAGGGGCTGAGTGTTCTCGTTTTCTCCCTTCTCGTCATGTTTCAGGGTCCCAGCTTCTACCACAGACTGAGATCTAACAAGAGAGGAAGGAGACGCACACAGTCACAGACAGTTCGTGCTGGTAGTGATTGTTCTTGAGAATCAAGGCATGGAGAACAGCTACTTAGTATTTCCTTTTTGCTGTCTGATCCCACACACCACTTTATTTTTTGATTTTTTTTCTGACAATATGAACTTAGCCACTTTGAGATTCTACTCATAAGCCTTTTTCTTCCGCTGAATCTGACCTGTAGCTTTTTGCTGTCATATACCATAAAATGAGCGTAACTTTCTGTGCTTGTGTCCATCCATCAAATGAAAATAAAGGTGAATCCTTAGACACAAAACCACTAATAAGTGTTCTGGGTGTACTTGGTGCGTGTCTATGGAGTTCTTCATATGTCGGAGCTTACCACTTTCACAGCCCCGAGAAATGGTGCTACTGCCTCCATTTTGCAGGAAACAAATTAAAGAATCAATAAACAAGGAAGTTAGGCAAGTAATACGGCAAAGTGGAGAGCGAGGTCTGCTCATTATAGCTCTGTCCCTGGAAGCGCTGTGGCCTGCAGAGCTGCCTTGCGGAATGTCTAATGACCCTTCCTTCCACTCTACTGGGGAAACAACTTGCTGCCCGAGGTTCTTAGCCCCTTTTATAATATGTATGTAACACAGAAAGCACAAGTTTAAAAAGTCAATCAAGGCTGAATATGGGTGGTATATTCATGTGATGTCAGCTATGGGGAGATAGAGGCAGGAGAATCATACTTTCAAGGCCGCCCTGGGAAGTATAGTGAGTTCTGGACCAGCCTAAATGGCACAATGAGATCTATTTCAAAATAAAAGTGAAAATCCCTACAATTGCCATGAAACACACAAACAGCAAGTTTCTACTATAAACACCAATCAGCTCAAATGCCCTGACTAGATGTGTGCGGTGTTTTGGGAGTGAAATGAATCCATCCGCTGCTGGGATGGCCTGACGAGCCACAGGCAGTAGTAGAACTTCGGATTTTTGACACACTTCCTACGTGTTTCTCTGCCTATCTAAGAGCCCAGCGTGAAAGTTGGGCGAGAGGAAGGAATGCAGATTTTTTGCATAATTATGAAAAAATGAGAAACTCCTGAAGACATCAAGGCAAACAGGCCTGGAGGTTCAAACTGGTACAACCAGAATGTGGGAGATGGAGGCTAGAGGATCGTGGGTTCAAGGCTAGCCTGATCTATGTTTTGAGGTCTCATCTAAAAATGAAATACAGCAAACATGAACGAGACCCAGAGGATCCCAGCAGTATGGCTACGAACCAGAAAATCAGCTACCTCTAGCACTTTAACCCACTGCCTAATTGGGCCTAATTGGACCCCCGTCCTGGAGTCAGTGAGGTTTAATTCTCATCAGCACCGCTCACACACTCTTCCTGAAGACAGCCATCTCGGGAAGCTCACTCCTCTATGCCTCAATCCCGTGAAATTCTCCTTCACGCAGAACTCGAACCTGGTTTGGAAAACATCTATGTCCTATCTGTTGTTCCTTCTCCCAGAGGCACAGATACCTGCCATCTGTTCTTTTCTGCATATGGGGTTTGATTCAAGGGCCTCCTGAATATCAGAATCAAAAGATGATCAAGTCCCTCACATTAGGGTGCAGCATCCACATAAACCTGTGCTCATTCTCCTGTAAATAGAATGCCTGCTACAAAGTACAGAACACATTGTTTACGGAAACACCACAGGAGGCGAAGGCTGTGCCTGCTCAGTGCTTGAGTCCACTGTGTACAAGTTTTGGCTGGGGAAGGCAGGGCATGCACAATCCCAACAGAAGTCTGCTTCAAAGCCTTGTTTTAGTTCAAGTTCTCCCTTCCTAACTCCACTCCTCACTGAGGATATCTGGATTCTACTTGTGCCAAGATTTCTAGAATTCTCCGCTCCAGGCTGTCTTCGTCAGCCAGGTGCTGACCCACCATATCCGTGTGATGGAGGAAGGTCATTGGTTAAAAAAATAAAGAAACTGCTTGGCTGGCCCTCATAGGTTAGAACACAGGTGGATGGAGAAAACAGAACAGAATGCTGGGAGGAAGAGGAAGTGAGCTCAGACTCGACAGCTCTCCTCTCGGGAGCAGACGCCTCAAGAGAGATGCCATGCCCCACTCCCGGGCAGACAGACGCGATTCAGCTCCGACCCAGGATGGACGTAGGCTAGAATCTTCCCGGTAAGCGCACCTTGGGGTGCAACACAGATGATTAGAAATGGGCTAAATTAATATGTGAGAATTAGCGTAGAAGAGGCTAGATAGAAATGGGCCAAGCAGTGTTTAAATGAATACAGTTTGTGTGTTGTTATTTTGGGCATAAGCTAGCAGACGGCCAGGGTGCTGGGGATGCAGCCCCGCCGCTCCTATTACTACATCTGTAGGGTGACTGTAGGACAGAGCGGCATGTTCACACCATTTGTCAATGTTCTGCTGGGGACAGCAAGGACCGCATGCTCGGCTCTGGCATCAGTGTCTCGCACCCTGACTTATAAGTGATGCTGTTCACCCGTCTCCTCCCTCTCTCAAAGGTTCTATTCAAGAAACTTGAGGTGAAATCATCATTTTCATCATTTTAAATTTGCTTCCTGTCTCCAACCTGTCTCCATCCTTTTAGGTCTTAAAATGCTTTGTCAATTCAAGTTATTATCTATGATGGTAATGACTATTAGGTTTGTTTTCAAACTTTCTGTGCCCACACAATGGTGAGAGAAAATGGAATAGATCTCAATTAGTTTTCAAACTCTCATCTGTCCCCACTGACTGATGTTAAGTGATTATAAACAGAGATTGCTCATTTATTTCCTGGCCGCCGGATGTGAGTAATCACACAAGAACTACACTAACTACAACACTGTGTGGCCAATAGCCTACGCATATTTCTAACTAACTCATATCTTAAATGAACCCATTTCTATTCGTCTGTGTGTCACCAGGAGGCATCTCCAACATCTTGGGGACTCCAAGGCATTCCAGGCTTCATCTCCACAACTTAGCACAATGGCCTCTCTAGGCTTCCATGCTGGGACACCCTTGCCACACACCTGTCCTCGGTGCCAGTACCTGCTGCAACCACCCTTTGCCAGTTGTCTCAGGTTTTACTTTATGCTCTTCTGTAGGGAAGCACCATTACCATGAGCCACTTGAAACTCAGTGGTCACATATGCTCAAGGCTCAGTTTCCAAAGATGGTCCTCTAGAACACTTCACTCCAAGTGGGCTTGAAGCATGTAGAGAATTGTGTCAGAGGCTAGGACTGCGCTGCTTACTGGAGCTCACAACCCTACTCCAAGGTCATCTGTTAGCAACTCTGACACAGTCATGCAGTTGGGGCACGCTGCTCCATCCCTGCCTGCCTGAGTCTGGACAGTGAAAAATGAGGTTGCCTGGGCATCTGGGCTTGAGAAAAGGATCGATCTAACAGATGGGAAAGCAGAGAAGTTTATTTTGAAGCTTCCCCTAGTTCTGTTTTCCTTTTCTCTGCATCCCTGCAGGCTCCAAGAGATGAGGAGATGCCGTGAAAAATACAGTTCTGTTTCTCTACCAGTGAGCTGTCTGTGTCTAGGGGAAGCTGATTCTTAACCACGGTTGATAAAGCTGCCCCTCAGGACACCCCTGTGCACAATGGGATGAAACTGAAAAGCACAGGCCCTCTGGTTCATAATGGCAGGGATCTGAGACTTCCCAGACAAACCTTCCTAGGAAAATGGACAGGCAAGCTAGAGACAAATGTCAAGAAAATGATTGAAATAGGGAAAAAAAAACCTAAACAACAGCCTGAATAAATGCTCACCAATGAAGCAATGGCTATGGTGGTATATCAGTGTTCTAGGATCTTGTGCAGTGTCAGGTATATAAGCTGTTCTGTGGGACAAAGACCCGTGCAATATAACCATATAGACTCCAGATGCTCTCCCACCCTTGCTAAACTCACAGACCGGAGTTCTCGTTCCAGTCCCTCTGGTTGTGGCTGTGTTTGAAGACAGAGATGTAAAAGGTGTCATTAAAGTCAAATGTGATCAATAGAGCTGGCTCTAAACCAATATTTCTGCTGTTCTCCTAAGAAGAAATTAGGACACAAACACAGAGAAAAAAGATCTTCTGAGGTCAAGGGTCAAAGCCAATCATCTGCACGCCAGGAAGAGAGGTTTCAAAGATGACAACGGTCCTGACCCCTTGATCTTTGCTTTTCTGTCCCAGTACTGTGAGGAAAGACTTTCTTGATGCTTACAGAATCCAGACTGCCTTACTTATTAGTGCAACTGCAGGCAAAGAGTCCTCACTCTGAGATGTCAGAAAACACTGAGGGGTGGTGTGTGTGAGCACAAGTGGGTATCGTCCACGAAAAAACAAGTGGAAGGACTGCCCTTGTCTGGGCACATTAGTCACACATGGGGAGAGACAGGAGTGGGGGTTGAGATGGTGGCTAAAGGGGTCTTTAGCCTTAGAAGCCACGGTTGAGAGTGTGCCAGGATCATTTGTATAGCAAATTTAAAAAGCCACCTTCAGGCTGGGGATGTAGGTTGATCTTAGACTGTATGAACTAGCACAAACAAAGTCCAGATTCCATATAAGAAATATCAAAAAAAAAAAGTACAGTGGTCAAGGAAAGAGTGAAAGAGGGATGGAGAGAGAGAAAAAAATGAAAACAGAAAAAGAGAAAACCCAAAGCAACCTCCTTCAGGGCACTGTTCCGAGCACCCATGCAGCACACTTTGCCAGTGGAGTCCAGCTCTCTCCGGGGATTTACTCCATGATTGCAACCCTCTTTACACCCACCAGCCTGCACATCAAAGTGCCGTCCATCTTCGTAAGGCTTTGTTCCTCCTCCATCCCTCAGGCTTGGCACACCAGTTCCCCGTTAACTCTGAGAGCAGCTCAAGTGCCAGTCATTTTATAACACTCTCAAGTATTTCTAGGTGTATTTTCTAGGCACACCTTCATTATCTTATTTGAATTGACAACCCTAATGTCTAAAGGTGCTACTGCCAAACAATGCTCCTTTGGTTTCAAAGAGATGAACGATAGTCATGTTCTCTACTGGGTTGTTTTGCCATCAGTGTATCCCAAAGGCCTACCGTTCCATCCGAGTAGCTCAGCAGTTGCCCACAATCTAAAAAGCAGACTGTAATCAGGATATGAAGTTCTTCCCTCAAGTTGTAGAAAGGGAACAACTGCATTTCTGGGTCAGCTGAGACCCATTTGCTGTAAACTCCTATGAAAATAATTTTATTCAATTCCGTGTCCACAAAGTTTTCAGTTTCTTATGCCGCAGTAGGTCTAAGTCGACCGGCTCATGCCCTCTGGCAGGCCTTACCTTTTCATGGGCTTGGGTGAGCACTCCCTCTCCAGGTTGGAGCATGTATGTTTCACGTGCATGGCGTTATAGGAAGTGTGGGTATAGTCATTTTCATCACTGTAGTCAGGACCAAGCAATGTCCGGGCCCAAGTCCCCATGTCATAAGGAGGAAGGGTTCCTCCAAATTCAGAGGGCAGAAATTCGGGGTGTATTAGCTGGTGAAGGCTGTTTAAATTGTTCCCGTGTAGGAAAATCTGGAAAGGAAAAAAAAAAAAACGAACATAGAAATTTAAAATATGACAAGTGTTTGTTCTAATACACAATTCAGCAAAGATAGACTGTATGTGTCTCTAGTGACCATGGATTTCAAAGAGGTGATTGTTTTTTGCCCATGGCTTAGCCATCATTGATATGGGAGTGTCATATATCAATCTGTTGATTTCATTGGTTAAGCAATAAAGAAACTGCTTGGCCCTCATAGGTTAAAACATAGGTGGGAGGAGTAAACAGAACAGAATGCTGGGAGGAAGAGGAAGTGAGCTCAGACTCGACAGCTGCTCTCTGGAGCAGAGACGCCATGCTCCCCTCTCATGGGCGGACGCGAGAGCTCTGCTCTCCTGGGCAGACACATGCGATGAAGCTCCGACCCAGGATGGACGTAGGCTAGAATCTCCCTGGTAAGCCACCTCATGGGCTACACAGATTATAAGAAATGGGCTAGTCCAGGTGCGAGAATTAGCCTAGAAGAGGCTAGATAGAAATGGGCCAAGCAGTGTTTAAATGAATACAGTTTGTGTGTTGTTATTTCGGGCATAAGTTAGCAGGCAGCTGCGGTGCTGGGGACGCAGTCCCACCGCTCTTATTACTACACATCATAAAACGCTATTTTATTGCTTAGAAAACAGACTGAATTGATAGTTGCTTTTTTTTTTTTAAAAAAAATGAAGTTTAAGAATAGAGTGGACATTAATTTGACCACCACCCAAATTTGCACACAGACACCTCCTAGTTACTGCTGCTGAGAATGGGGAGGTCATGACAATCACTCTAAACTACTCACGCTTTGAGTGCCCTGCATATCTGAGCGCTCTGGCCCCCAGAACCTCCCCAGTTCCACCATCGTCTCAGGCCACAGCAATTGCAGCCTGGGTCTTTGCCCACTCTGCTTTTCCTCCCTAAATCAGTCCCATCCCCTACCCTGATTCTCCACGCCATTCTCCCCATGAACTATTCTGTAGCCATTGGCTTCTAGCTCTGCCCCAATGTGTTCCATTGGGTCTTAGGGAGAAAGAGATGATATTTTACTCTGCTAACATAGCCTGTATTTTCACGACGGTGTGTGTGTACTAGAGAGAAGCTCAGTCAGCTCCTGTTTGGTGCAGAAGCATGTCCTGAGTATGTGCTGTGGGCAGTTTTCCCTTCCTGCTTGCATAGAGTACCAACACCCAAACGGGCTTGTGCTTTCTGAGCACACAGTGCTGAGTGATCTAAGCAGACCAAAATGAGGGAGGGGACTTCACATTTCAGGTATCTTTAGATAAATTCACAAATGGCATGTAACATGAAGATAATTGTCACGGACTACAATTTAGAAACTGATCTTGAAAGTTGATTTAAAGTACATCTGTGACGACGTTGGTTCCCAGAAACATCGCAGGCATGAACTAATCCAGTGTGTAAGTTACACACGATTAACTGCGTGGAGTAAATACATGGCATTCCAGTAGAACACCATCAATTACATGTTTGGACATACATGCCACAGCTGACAGTGGTGGCATCGAAATGTGAGTTTGAAAATTCCCGCGTTTGGACTTCAGCAACAATCACCCGTTACCCCATTCTCTTCATTCTACCCTGGCCTGTAAACAGCCTCACGTAAAGACAAAAGAGAAAAGCAGGTAAGTGTGGAGATCTTCTGGGTGCTGCAGGGCCCGGGACCACAGTGTGCATTTTCTGACATCGCAGTTAGATATGACTGAAAGTTAATAAAAAGGATTTGTTGGGAATAAATTAAAATATTCTGGATTTTATGAAACTCTATAGTAGATGCTGGAGTATTAGAAGCATACGAAGTCCCATCCCTGGTGTTCACATTCAGTGCTTGTACCTATACCATCTCAGATCTTAAAGGACAGAGCCTGCTGCTCACAACAGCAGTTCTGGGATCGCTCTGCTGCAGCGCGGCAGGGAGGAACATGGAGGAAGGAGGCTGGACCCACTTGTCCTGGGTCAAGAGCTCCAGAAAACCCCTGCTCTGGTTCAGCAGACATTGTCCACTGTGGGAAGAGCTCGCATGGCCCCCATGCTTGGTAGAAGATGCAGGCTCTCAAAGGCCTGAAGTTAAGCTGCAGACAATGCAGAACAACAATCAGGTTGTTCCTGATACTGTCCTGAGCAAACTGTAGAATGTCTCAGAGGGTTCTTGCTTCTTGATGTTGGTGATGTCTAGTTCTAAGTTCTGTTCTTGTTTGGAAACAGGGACTTGTCCTTTTTCCATAGTCCACTGAAATGTTCCCCAGTGACCAAGAAGCACTCAAGGCTTAGGAATTCAGAACCCTAGTGTTGTGTGTGTGTGTGTGTGTGTGTGTGTGTGTATGTGTGTGTATGTGTGTGTGTGTGTTCAGGCTACTTGATATCATCAGTCACATTTGAGGTAATGGATATCTTATAATTGTGGTGATCATTCTACAGTGAATTTATATTATGTGTCTTAAGCACACAATGTTTACTTGTCAAGTATGATTTAGTAAAACTAGTGGGGGGAGAGATAAAGCGTGAAAAGGAAGAAAATTATCAAGTGTCTGGTATGTGAATGGCATCTTGCACTATGTTTTCATATGCCGTCTCATTAAATTGCTCCAAAGAGTCTGGGGTGTAGGAGTTAGTCTCCCTACATAACAGATGAGGACAGTGAGATTCAGAGGAGCTAGCGGATGCTTGCTGCTCAGCCAAACAGAAGGCCGAGCCAGCCCTGCTTTGATGAAAGAGGCTGGCCTCTCAAATGCCAACTGAGGTCATTATTATTTCAAGTGTTCTTTTAAAGATTATCACATCCAATGGGAAATGCTTTCAGCCTTACTTATGATGGATCTGGATCCAAGAGCCAAGAGAGAAAAAAAAGACCCATTTTTCATAGTGACGACACCGGACAAAATATTAGCTACTGACATAGTCCATAAACAAGAAGTAGCCACTGGGTAAATGCCTATAATCCCAGAACTCCAGACATGAAGGCAAAAGGATTAAGAATTTGAGTCTGAGGGCTGGAGAGGTGGTTCAGCAGTTAAGAGCACCTGTTGCTGCTGCAGCAAAGCCTAGGTTCTGGTGCCAACACACAAGGCAGCTCACAGCGGTCTAACTCCAGTCCCGTGATGTCTGACACCTTCTCTTGGCCTCCATGTTCATTGCATGCTTGTGGTACACACACATACATGCAGGCAAAGCACTCACTTACATAAAACTAAAATAAGTCTGCAAAAACAATGTGAGGCTAGCCTGAGCTACGTCATAAGATACCCCACAAATACAAAAATGGGAGAACTGAATAGGAGCAGGAAGTGTGCTACTCTCACAAACATTTGTAGTGAAATTGGCATCTGGTATCTGTATGCCTTTAAAGTGTCTTTTGTTTGTCTGGCACTCTGAAAATAACCTATTATGCCAAGTTTTTGATTAAATATAAATGCCAAGTTTTTGATTAAATATAAGACATTTGTAAACTCCTGCTAAGGTGCAAATGTTCAAAAGTTATAAAACCATGGTAAAGCACCAACAATCCATTCAGAAGCTAAATGACACTTCTCATTACCCGCTTTCTCGTCTTGTCTTTAAGGAATGGCTTGATGAGCGTGTACAGGGCATGGATGTACCAGGGCTGGTTGACAAAATGGACTCCTCCGAAGCGGGCAGGAAAGCTGTCCTGCAAAGGAAATACAGAGAGTGAGAGACACTTGCCTAGGGGACAGCCATGCGCATAGCAATGCAGGTAACAGCCTGCTCTTCTGGCAGAAGCTCTCCCTTCAGGTAAAGGAAGGACTTGGATGCTCAACTCCTAGACTGCCTTCCTTTCCCTGTTGTCCTCTTGCATTCTTTTTCCTCTTTTCAATCGGGAGCCTAAGAATGGTGCATAGGTTAGGCTAGTCTTCCAAAGTGGCAATGTCTGAGGGATCTAAATAGCACACAGTGTGTGGGACCCAGATCACTGGGACTCAGAGGTGTTCAAGGCATTGGGTTAGCACACTTCAGTTCCTGAAAGCCAGAGCACAGCTCTCAGACTCTGTTCTCTTTTCTCTCCATGATGTTATGCCATCTTCACAATAGCCTAGAACCTGGACTTGTTAAGTGAGTTGAGCAGGTTGCATAAGAGCAGACTGCAAAACAACCCCAAAGGATCTTAGGAGCTGAGATTCTCTGGAATGACCCTCTGACAGCATGTACTGTTGGTTGCTTTCTGTACTTTCTGTCCACTTCATCCTGGAAGCACACAGCAAATCCTAGAGAAAAATTAATGCTGACTGAGGGATAGTTGACCCTCACCCTAACTGAACGAGATCCCCTTCCTCTGCATTTCAGCACAGTTTGTAAAGATCAGGTCATAAGAACGTTTTCATGATGGCTCTTAGCTTAGAGTCCAGGCCAGAAGCTGGTAAACAGCTTGGAGGATTTCAGATCCACAGGAGGGGAAAGGCCAGGAAGTCCTGATGTGTGATTTCAGCAGATCATTGCTAATGGGATTGTAAAAGAGGCAACACCTAAATGCTATTTGCCTCACTAAGCGTGCTGCCAATCAAATTCATCACAACAAACGGCTTGTAACAAGACAAGAAGAAGCAAGGTGGCTAGTGTTCATGCAATGAGCACTCTTCGAGGGTGTAGAAAATGCCATGCCTAGTTCTGTTTTAGTATAATCACAAGCAAAGAGGGTTATTAACTTTTTCCAGAACTTTCTGTATCTACAGGCTCCCTGGGCATATGCCATCAGGAGACCTAGTTTCAATGAAAGTGTATAGAACTGAGCTTAAGGGCTGACATTTGAAAAATCTTAAAAATAACTTTTACTTCTAGCTAGACATTTTACAAAATAGGAAAGAACGAAATATTTTGAAGGCTAAACTAGACAATTTTAGTTTATTTATTCATTCTACTTATCTTCATTTTTAAAAGTCAATAGAGCCGCCACCAAATACCGGGACTGAGGGATCATTTACACTAACTTCAGTATTTGCCGCTGTGTGTAATGTTCTCCAGACATGACATGGCTGCTGCCTTCTTGAACGTTCCACCAACAGTGATTACCAAAGTAGACCTCAAACACATTTTGGCCCATTACCCTTCTGTCAAGGAGAATGGGAGGGACTTGGAGACGGTGCACCACAGGGGGCCTGACTACCCTCCAGTGCCCAGTAAGTCTCAGCAAGAGTAGTTCCCTTCTGTGTAGGAGCAGTCCTAGGTTGCCTTTGCAGTTGTATGTAGTTTCTCACCCTCACTCGTCCAGCTAGACTTGAGTTTGGAGAAGAAAGGAAGCCACAGAAAGAAGAGAGGAAACAGTGAAAACAGCAGACGTCAATGGTCTTTGAAATGGAGTCAAGGAAATCAATGGAACTAGGAGTTGGTGATCTAGGAAGGTCAATAAGATTTTCCAGGCTTTTTTCAAGATTGATTAAAAGGGAGATCACAAAACACCAATGTCAGCAATAAAACTGTGCCTGTCACTTTGTCAGTTTCAAAAGGACAGTTGGGGAACAAAGCTACAGCTCTTCATGGGGACTTGACAGCCTAAAGAACAGGAATCACTTGAATTTCAAACTTGCTCAGCTCATCAGGAAACAGGTGATTCTAATAGTCCTCTAATTACTAAGAAAATTAATATCATCATAAAAATAATTCTTCGGGCTTACATGATTTGATTAGAAAAATCCAATTTCATACAATCTCTTCCAGAAAATAAAAGGAACATGTTTCAATTCCCTCATGAAGCATATATCAAAACAAGAATAATACTAACCAATCAAATTACAGGCTGTTCTTTATGAGTGCAGATGGGAAAATCCCTCACAATGTATTGGTAAATAGAACCTGGTGATTTATGGGTGGGATTATACACATTAGGACTAAGTAGGGTTGACTCCAGGCCTACAAATCTGGTATACTTTCAAAATCAGTCTATGTAATCGTATTAACATCATGTAGTTGTTATGTCTGGTGCTTTGACATATGGGATCTTCCTGACTAGGGAGGGGCTGTCTCTGCTGAGTGAGGACGCAAATGAGGAGCCTTGGAGCTCTCCTCTCCCAGCCAGATGAGTCACCCCATCTCACACTTCTCCGAATGTCTTTCTCAGGCTCTGGAAAGCTGCACTGTTTTTCCTTTGTCTTGGTACTCCAGGCTCAGAACCCAGATGATGTGGGAAGGCCCCACACCCAGGAGTCCTTGAGATTGTTCAAACTAACCAATGTTAGGCCAGCTTAGGCCTCTTTGTCTTTCTTATTCATTCTTTACTATGAAACATCAAAGTCATCCCTGGCCTAAGCCTTCGCCCCACTTTTAGAAAACAAAAGGGGGTCAATTCAAGATCTTGAACTAGGCAAGCACACTAGACTTGACCCTTAGACTTGACTCAGAAGCAAGACCTATAAAACAGAGAACTGGTATATAGAACACACACAGAGAAACACAATTAAAAGTGCAAGAATACACAATCCAATTAGAACATGTGCAAAAGACAAGCGATGGAGGAACATTTCACTAAAGAAAACGTACAGATGTCAAAGAGGTACATGAAAATGTGTGCCATTCATCACAAGCAAGCTGCACCGGAGAATCACACTACAACCTGTCAGGATGGTGTTGACAATCGTGACAACTTTGGGACTGGCAGCTGTGTGGGTGGTGAGACTGCTTTCTGCACAAGCGTGAGAGCTTGAGGTCAAATGAGCAGCACCCACATAAAATGCCATACAGAGCTGCACCCGAGACTGCAACAGCAGCACTGTCAGGGGCTGAGACGGGCTTTCTGGGATTGCTGAGCTGTGAATCTACCCAAAACAGAGCTTCGGGTTCAGTGAAGTGCGCCTGCTGCTGTAATAATAGCACAACCATTAGGGGAAAGTTAAGCACTTTCTGATAGGATTTGAGGCCTCATCCACAGGAGCAAACTATATACCTGGTTCAGTAACCCTGGTTGACCAGAAGCCCATGGCTAGGGAGACTATACATTCTAGTGTTGTACCTGCTACTGTTAGTTTGCTTAAATGCCTATTCTAGCAAATTGCAGTCTAAATATTTATGCTTAGACCATAGATCTTGGATGCTCTCAACCTTGGCACAAGAAGCTTCCTTTTGCAGTGGGCATCAGTCAATGCATAGATGCATACTGGTCAAAATTCTGATGATACGCAACAGTGTGCTAAGCCCAAACAAGACATCTATATCATTTGCTTCTTTTACTTCTTACTAAAGCTCCAAAGAAGAGAGCTGTCTATATTGCTAGCTTTGCCAATCTCATTGCTGGCCAGGCAAGATGACCAGGGAGGTGACCTCGACTAGCACCTAGATAGCAGGGGTAAAATATAAATCCGGCCTCCTGGTCACTCTGTACCAGCAGAACTGAACCCAAGCACTGGAAACTTAATTTGCTATTAAAGTCATGTCCAGCTTTTCTAACCACACTGACCTTAAGGAGGGGTTATACCTGACTATTACATAGCAAATACATTACGGTTATTACCCAATACTTCATCTTCATTCAAGTCTCCCCAAGGACCTGTAAGTGGTAAATAGATGATTGCTTCTCGTTATTTAAAAGCCAATTCATGGGGAGCCCCAGATCCCTCGAATGGCTGATTCACAGAGGAAATCGATGCTAGCAGAGTCGGCTTGTTTTATATGATGCGCTCTGCCAGTTCGTGTTTAAACTCCCACAGTCCCGGTGTCTCTGTGAGAAGGAAGCAGAGCAGAAGGACCACAGAGGACATTTGGGGGAAGACTTTCACAAACGTTGAACTTTTAACTAGTCACTCTTCCTTTTTGTCTGTAACTACTTTGCAATAAGTACGTATAGGAACTCTTCAACGTCATCACAAACATAATTTGAGAGAAAACAATAAAATGGGTAATAGTCAACTATGAGTTGTTCAGGGAAGGGAAAGTGGCTCAGTGGGTAAAGTTCTTGCTGCATAAGAATGAAGACCTCGGTTAGGATCCCCAGCACCCAGGAAAAAGCTGATCTGTATTCCCAGCTGTAGGAAGAGATAGGTAGAGAGGTGATCCCTGAGGTTCTCTGGCCAGTCTAGACAAAACAGTCAGGACCATGGTCAGTGGGGGATCCTAGCAACAAGGTGAAGAGCAACAGAGGAATACATCTGGCATCAGCCTCTGTTCTCTAGGTGTGCAGAGAGCTAGGTGTGCCTGCAGGCACATGCACACACACTCGCACAATACACACTCACACATATACACACTCATACATACCCACACACATCCACATCCACACAATACATCCTCACGCATACACACTCACACACATAAACACACACATGCAGACCCACACAGCACACACTTGCACACATAGTCATGCACATACACAGTCACACACATGAATTATTTGGATGTTGTGCATCAAGAACCAGACTAATACATCTTTACATGCTATTACATCTAACACTCACTCAGAGCAACATAAAAAGCACAATTAGCTTCCTTGTGTGTGTCAACCATGTAAACACCTGAATACATTTTCTTTCATAGAAAGAGCAACATCTATTGACATAAGCAAATAGAGCCAAATACGTTAGAAATGAGAGAGAAAATAACAGCTCGCCCGTATGACTCATTACATCCTGAATTCCAGTGTTCGTGCTTTTAACTTAACTATGCGAATCTTGGGAAACCCAACAACTGAGGGAGAGACAATTATTACTG